CAAAGAAAAGCTTTCGCATAATCAGCAAATAATATCTACTCACGATTTCTGGCGAATTGATATTTAGCATTGTGCCATTATTTTCAAACTCTAAAGTTGAGATGTAATTTTGATTTTGGCCTCTATTTTCCTCCATTTCTAATTGAATGAAATTTTCTCTAACCACGCATCTAATTATTGTTTATAAGTTCCGGACATCACCCTCATGTAAATATAACTAAATCCAAATGTGTAAGACGTCCAAAATTTGTAATTCACAAATCAGAAAGATGGTTAAAGGTTCCTCCAAACCAAGAGCACACGGCCATTTGAATTACTACTCACTATTTTCTCTACTTGGAGGCCAAGGGGTTCCTCCACGTGCATTAGTAGTGATCTGTTGACCAGACTGAGTGTTCAATTCCAAATTGAACATCATCACCAGAAACATTCATGAATAATCATGAAAGACGCAGGAATCCCGGTGTAATCATAACGAGTCATGATAGCCACATTGAAGCAAAGGAAATTCAAATAGGAATATTCTAATTAGCGGAGCGAATAATGTTTGTCGGTCTTTGATTTAAGACGTGGGGACAGCTCTTTCAGAAAATGCAGAGTGTTGCTTTGACTGAATGCGCCACTCTTTGAAAGTCATAACCTTTTCGAGACCGACGGAGATCGTGGAAAGCTCCCTTTTGATGTCTATGCGCATGTGTTGCTCTATGCTCTCTTGTTGACTTTGACATGAAATGAGCACATTTCATGGATCACATCAAGCCATCAGCTAGAGCAAAAGGAATTCTATTGGTATTAGAAACAAGAGTGATAGGAGGCGGCTGGCGTAGCTCTCTATTTCAGGCTTACCATAAGGGCTTCACACCCCGTGCCGGAATGTTGGACTTGCAGATCCACCGAGCCGACTACTAGGTCATGGTGCATCACAGTCACGGACCGAGCACCCGAGCGATCTTTACGAGCCTGGCCAATCCATTGCGATGACCAGCTAAAGTGCCAACGAAGAAAGACGCCTCTCCGGCGTGGGGAAATAGGTCTGCAAAGTAAGGCGGGGCTCAACTATTGAATGGTCAAAATCCAATGGCGGCAGGCAATTAGCCGTTATTTCCAAGGGGGATGGTGGGGGATGGTGGGGGATGGCTGCCGGGGGATGGTTGGCTCCGCAAAGTTGGGGAAGCTTCGCGTGCATGTCGCCATCTAAACCGTAGATCCCAAAGTCAGAAGGAACGTTGAAAATCCCCTTTCTGGTTGTGGCGGTGGATGCCAGGAATAAACCACACGACGAGCGGTGCACAATCGATAACCGAAACGCATTCGACAGGAAGCGTGGAGCGTGTTCCTTAGAGCCCTCAAATCTGTAGCAGTGGAAAACAGGAAAAAGTTGGATTCTGCCAAACCGAAAAGGGCTTTGGTATCTTGGAGGAATCTTCAAGTGCAGTGTCTTGGCCTGGCACGGCACATGCTGTGGACATCGAGACGCAGTTGCAACTTTCAGGGTTGGGATTCATTCTTGCGTTTAGGCAATGTCCCACAATGTACATTCATTCCCGTGTTTTAGGCAATATCCCACAATGTGCCGCCTCTCTAGTAATTTCAACACTTCATGAGTAACGAGGTTCGCTGATCTGTTTCTGGGTCTTTCCCGTTTGATGGGTTTGGAAGTCCTCATTTTTCCAACTTGGAAATGTTCCGCCCACGAGTTTGCAATTTGTGGTGGCGTACAAGAGCACGGCAGGAATTTTCTAAGAGAAACCCTAACTCGGAGCGAGCACGGGACAGGACTTAACTCGAAACTTTCGTGAATTAATACGTTTTTACCGATTTTGAATCGAACAATAGATATAGAGGGAAACGAGAAAATGTAACCATTAGAAATGATATTACGTATGGAACTCTTTAATTTACATACTCCTACTATAAGGGAAAATTGTCCAAAAAGTCATAAACCTATTGCACTTTTGCTAATTTATTCTTAAATATTTTAATTTTGCCAATTAAGTCCTAAACCTTTTCATATCTTACTAATTGAGTCTATCCGGCTAATTTTGGCTGGAAATCGCTAACATGAACATTAGTGGTCCTACGTGGCATGGTCGGCGCCAACGTGAACAAATTTAAATAATATTTTTAATTTTTTCAAAATTTTTAATTAATTAGTTAATTTTTTTTACAACTCTAGCCGGTGAGGGCCCTCGCTTGGCCTCGGAGAGGGCTGCGACGTCCTTACCGCTAACAGGCAAAGAATGTGGATCTGGCCACAGGCAAGGGCGTCGAGCCCTCCCTAGATCCAGGTGACGGCCGCAACGCCCTTGCTTGGTTTGGAAGAGGGCTTGATGCCCTTGCTTGGATCTTGAATAGGGTGTGGAGACTCTTGCCTGTGGCTAGCGAGAGTCGTGACGCCCTCACCCAAACCAGGCAAGGGCATTACAACCCTTGCTTGGATTTGGGTGAGGGCTCGACGCCCTTACCCGTGGCCGGTGAGGGTGCAACGGCCCTTGCTCATGGCTGTCGAGGGCCGTGACACCCTTGGCAGCCGCAGTTGGGAAAAAAAACAAAGGAAAGAAAAGAAGAAAAATAAAAAAAACTTGAAAAAATATAATTAAAAAATGTCTACGTCAGCGATTTCCGACAAAAATTGACCAGACGGACTCAATTGGTAAAACGTTAAAAGGTTTAGGACTCAATTGATAAAATTAAAAAATTTGGACTGAATTGGTAAAATCATAATAGATTTTAAACTTTTTGGACAATTTTCCCTTACTTCGATACGCAGACTTTCCCCGATCACAATACAGTTGAAAGGCAAACTCATGATGACAACTATTAAATTCTATTGCAATTACGCCTAACTTCTTGGACGAAATTTAAATAAAAAAGGGTGATATTATGTTATATGTAATTCCCACGCCATATATTATTAATAGAGCTTGCAATAGTAGACTAATTTTGGGCTTCTTTTGACATTTTTCTTTTGAGATAATTACCAAAAAAGTTTTAAACCTATTGTATAGATGCTAATTTAGTTCTAAACTGTTCGATTTGACCAATTTAAACATTTCGACGATTTATAAATGTAGTCCTTTCGGTCAATTTTGGCGGGAAATCATTGATGTGGACTCTGGTTATCTTACGAGGCACGGCTGGCATTGAGGTGAACAATGTTTGCAATTCTTTAAAAAAGGTTTCCAAACTTTTTTTTTCCATTTCTTTATTTGTTTCATCTTTTATAAAAAAAAGAAAATCTTTAAAATAATGCAAAAGTTGTCAATGTCAGTATTGGCCGTGTCACATAAGATGACTAGCGTTTACGTCAGCTATTTCCGATCAAAATTGGTTGGAAAGACTACATTGACAAGTCGTTAAAAGATTTATGACTAAATTGGCTAAATTGAAAAGTTTAGAATTAAATTGATATCCGGATAATAGGTATAGGAATTTTTTTGTTTAATTTTCCCTTTTTTCTTTTTTAGTGTTCTTTATTAACTTTGCCACAAGGTATTCTCCAAATTTTATTCAGAGGGTACATTGTAGATAACGTGGAACTCTACATTTTTTTTTTTGGTCTAGAAAGTGGAACTCTACATTGGGTGGTTATATTGCAGAGTAATATAGACGCGAGATGCAAACAGCGCCGGCATGGGAATGACTTAGTGATTAAGGATTGAACATAGACATGTCATTAGTTCAATTCACCACGTGGAGTGGGGTTTACTTTACTTATTCGAAATATTTTCAGGATATATTATATGCTCCAAGTTCTATCTTTCAAGGACATATACTAGATTTCGTACCTCAACATGATATTAAAAAATGTGGGGAAAAGGAAGGGGCTGATTCCAAAAAAAGAATACCAACTTTATCTTGAGTGACAATTCTGACTCGAACTTTTATTTGTCTTAATAAAAAACATCAACTTTTACTCTAATCTCAAATTTGATCCCCATGATGTGAAATTTTCAAATTATTCGGGCTGAAATTGGGATTTAAGTAAAAGTTGGTGATTTTTTATGAGACAAAAAAAAATTCTGGCCAAAATTGTTATTTAAGGTAAAGTTGGTATATATATATTTTTTTGAATTAGGCCGAAAAGGAAGTGTCAAAACTATATTCGGTTCCATAACAGACCTTTCTATGAGTTCACATGCCCCGGTACCAGATTCCCCGAAACACTTAACAACGGCCAATATGAGCATATAGAAGAAGAGGAAAACAAAAAACGATGACGTTTCATGCTAAAATTATAGATCCTGCTGAGATGAACCTGGATCCGATTCCCCGCTTAAACCCTCTATGAAGAAAAATAAGGTATGGCCAGCTTTTTCTCATCCAGCAAAAACTTGATCAACCTGATTGCGACCCAGAAGCATTTTGGACCGGGTCGGTTCATCTGTTGTGTGCAGATTCCGCGACGAGAAAGAGAGAGAAAACAAGGGAGAGAAAGAGGAGCTCGCGAAGTAGCGGAATGAAAACTCGGTGGGATTCTCCATGAACTATCATCAACATTTCAGTCAACTCTCAAATGAATTACATCTTCGTGTGTGTTTGAAAACTCAGATTACACTCTACAAATCAGCTCAATGTTGCTAACTAATTCTCCTGCCAAGATAACTAACTAACCATCACCCACATATGACAGCTTGTGCATTTCCTCAGTTGAATGGCATCGCATCCAGTCCTATCTCAATCTTTCGATTATCGCATTGAAGTATTCATCCGATCAGGGACTAGCAATCTGAATCCCACACATCATCAACCTTGTTCAACCCGACATATGAGGATTTCTTTGCCTTGCCCTTGTGTTTGAATCATGGTTGGAAATCTGGAATAGTCTGAAGTACACAACATATTCAAATTATAAGCCAAGGAACATCTAATATCCTGAAGAAACATATAATTTGTACAATTTCCTTTACTAAACAGGTGAATAAGTATATTTTTCAATAATGCTCAACGTACTAAGACTCCTCTACTAAATTAGCTTGGTAAGTAACTTGAAAGACTCATTTTGGGTATATAATGGGTTTACTAGCTCAAATAGCTATTATAGATTGTCACATCAACTAGTATACTGATTTACTAGAGGAATCTTAATATCTTAGTGTTGCTCATATAATTTACAGGTTGGCGTTGGGTCAACTAACCCGTCTCGACTTCGAAGGATCTATTTCTTTTCTTTTTGGCTTGAATCATAGTTGGAAAATTGGAACAATCAAAATTACAAAGTATTCAAGAATAAATGGTAAGAACTTCTCTAATCCTTCGTCACACCATCTCCACAAGTTGCATCCAGTCACAGGTTCCTCTGGTTAACCGTACATGAGAGAGAACTCCCATACTTAAAGCCTCAAAGCAAAATTCTATTTGCGAAGAGAGGTCATCAAATGATATCCACAGAAGAACTAACTAACCGCTCCTGGAGAAGGCAGCAACAGAGGAATACATCTGATGGGGACATGAAGAAATTAGGCTAACCCACCAGAAAAAAAATGAAAGCATTCATTTTTTTCGAATTGTATACCCTTTCAATCCAATGATGCATAAGCATGTGCTACTCAGTTGAGTCATGATGTGAGAAAGTTGCAAAACTTTATACGACCATGCTCTTTTGAACTTTATTGAATTTTTCTTGGCCAGAACAAATATTGAAACAGAGAGCAACAGCCAACGGCTATGTCATATGAAATGAATTAATATTATAGCGAAAACAAAGACTTCTAACCTCAGTAGCAATTTCTGGTCAACACCAAAAGGCTGAAATTTGGGATGGCGTTTCTCTTTACAAGATGATCAACCTCACAATTTGGCCCATATAACGAAAGGATTTTGTTGCTTCTTTCAAGCATTTATTTTTCTCATCACGCGACCAGTGCTGCATCAGTATCAGAAAAAACACGCGATACATTATTGTGAGGCAACTGACATTCGATTAAAAGAAAATGTGGCTGTCTAGGCATTTACCTCTCCAAGCATGTTAAGCTTCTCTCGAACACCTTTCAGTGATTCATGCACATCTCCCTCCCATTGGCAGAATTCCAAATCCCTTCCTTCTAGTATCTTCTGAGAGACCTAAGACATCATATATATTATTGAAGAAAGTTGGCTCTAGGTTAAGCAGTGTAAAATTTCAGTTTTTGGGAGCTCAAATTTTTCAACACATGCAACATGCAAAATCCTTTCCATCTGAAAACACAAAATGTTTATATCATAGAAGAAACCTTATTGAAACAAGATGCTACAATATTTACTATAATATGAAGAAAGTACCAGAAAGAAAAACAACATATAAAGAATGGACATCCAGGGGATGGACTAACATGATGTAAAGAAGAGCCAGGGTGTGAACCAGTAACCATGAAAGAGACTAAGGAAAATGGCATAGGTCAAACCTGCACTCTGGCTTGTAATTCAAAATTGTCCATCTACTTTCATATGGTTGAAGGTAATCCTTGTACTTCCTAAAAAGCACATTGTTCGTCATTCCATCAAATTTCTTCACTAGAGAGGCACCGTGAAAATCGCTAATTTAGATAAAAGGACATTTGACACTTTCTGATTCCATCAATTTCAGGGACATGACGTGAACAAGACCGCACATTAAATGTTCATTGAAGCCCCATAGAAAAGCAATATGAGATGCTTTAACGTGCATGAATCTTTCAAAAAGCATCACAATTTATTAACTTTTCTTTTTCTCCATTTCAAAATCTCCAGGTGCTCTATGAAAAGTTAAAGCTTGGAAGATGAGATCAGTTTTGTGTAGCACCTACATGGAATGATTCACAAAGTAGATTTCCAAGATGAATTTGCACTCTGTACAGGTCTATGTAGTGGCATACGGAGTCATTTAAGAGGGCAAAAGTACCATGATGTCATTTTGGTCTTCTTAGAAGCCATCAGTAGTTTTTCACAGCCACGAAGGAGAAAAAGTTATAAAAAATGGCATGACAAATTTTCCATTTACTTAAAACTAATGAACCTAACAGAGATACTTGATTGCATAACATCTACAAAGTATTAGGACTTAATTGCATAACTGAAAGTTTTAAGACCAGATTTCATTTTGAGTGTAAGTATTAGAACTTCTAGTGCGCTTATTCCTAGAATTTTCCCTTAAATATGAGTCGATTCATTGCACAAGACACTAGATGCACTTCACCACTTGATCCATCCTGCTTGTATTCCATATGGAAGTTCTCATCATTTTCTGTCATTTTGCAGAATTAATTGGAGTATTACAACTTTCGAAGTTTCTAGGACTTCCTGGTCTCCAAATACCACCATCCGGTAACTTCTATGTTTTACTGAACTTTCACTCTACATACTCTTATGTTGGACCAACTTAAACGAAAACCCTCGAAAACCAACATTTCCCTCCAGAGATAGAGTTTCTCAATAACTCCAGCTTGGTTTTTCATCTATTAGCACTATATCATTTGCAAAAGGTATGCATCAAGGAACATCATCTTCACAATGTCCTTCTAACATCGTCCATCCCCATTTTCGTGAGCAAAATGAAAAGGGCTCGTGATAGGAGTCACCTGAAGTATTTTGCTAAGTATCACTTATATGACAAACAAGCATGTACCATATCTAGAATTTCATCAGCTAAAAACACTATAGAAAAAGATAAGACCGTGTCCGAAAATGTAGAAGGGTCCAGTGAGTAAAAATCATCTGCAAACACTCATCTAATAACTTCTAAAGGCATCCTTCTTTCGACCTTGAACAATCTGAATTCGATTTATGAATGACTGGAGATTTTGCTGACTTCTGGGCACTGACAACTTCACATCACCTCCCAACTGACGATATTCATTCTGTAAAATTTCAGGAAAGACTGAAAACTCAACTCTGCTGCTTCATTTTTCAAACAGGTTGAACTAATTCCAGAGAACCTAACTGACTCAGGACTAATGTTCATATACTTAGGGCCCGTTTGGCAAGTTGCCAAATAGTGAAAACTTTTGTTCTTTTGTTCCCAGAATCAGTTTAGGAACAGAAATCCGTTTGTTAAAAATTTTTGTTCTTTGTGCCCGGGCACAAATTTGGAAAAAATTGTTCCCAAAATCAGTTTTGGAACAAAATCAAGAAGCAAAAAAAAAATAGCTTCTTGATTCTGGGAACAATTTTTCCATTTCTGATTCTTCTTGGTTTTCTTCTTTCTCTTGGTTTGTTGTTCTTCGCCCGCCGCCGGCTGCTGGCCACTGGCGACTGGCCACAGGCCAGGGCCGGCGAGGGCGGCTCGCGGCCGCGACGGCGAGGCCTCGCCCAACCATGGCGAGGCCTCGCCCAGCCATGGCGAGGCTGACCTCGCCGTCGCGACCCAGGCGAGGGAGATGGGTCGCCGCCGGCCACCGACCACCAGCGACTGGCCACAGGCCAAGGCTGGCGAGGGCGGCTCGCGGCCGCGATGGCGAGGCCTCGCCTAGCCATGGCGAGGCCGACCTCGCCGTCGCAACCCAGGCGAGGGAGATGGGTCACGATGGCGAGGTCAGCCTCGCCAGATCTGGGCGAGGTCAGCCTCGCCAGATCTGGGCGAGGTCAAGCCTCGCCCAGCCAAGGCGAGGCCGGCGGCGAGGGTCGCGACGCCCTGGCCGGCCCTGGCCTGTGGCCGATCGTCGGCGCTGGCAACCGGCCATGGCCAAGGAAGGGAAGGGGAAGAAAGAAAAAAAAAGAAAAAAAGGAAAAAAAATGATAAAAAATGATTAAAAAATCAAACTATTATTAATAAAAAGAAATTTTGTGTAGTTACCAAACGCATTTCTGTTCTTTTTCTATTCTAAGAATAGAAATTTTGGGCAGTTACCAAACGCCTTCAAATGCTTAGAAATTATTCCCGGGCACGGAATAAAAAAGAATCATTTCTGAGCAGAATCAGTCCCTGGGCACGGAATCGTTGCCATGCGCACCCTTATAAAGCCAAAAATTATGATTTAAGAATTAAAAAAAAAAACAGCGAAAGAGAGGATGTACATGCCAAGAATGATTCATCGTTAGGACAACATGGAATATCAACATTCTATGAGCATTAAACAGCACAAACTTAGAGTTTCATAATATGTAATGTGTAAGTACTGCAATATCAGTCTTGTCAGAGATGCAGGTAGCTAAAAGCACGCATAGAGTAGTTAGGCCAAAACTTACCTGGTTCACTATCAATTGACCACCTGCTATGTGGGAGAAGTATATGTTGTAAAAATGGGAAAGGAACAAAGGGGCACTCTTTTCTGCAAGTTCCTCTAAATACTTGGAATATGAAATCCCTGCATTGCTAGGTTCGGGGATTGCAACATTCTGCTGGGAAAACCATTCTAGATCTTTTGAAAGGCCTTCTGAACGTTCCAATCCAGTTTTAGTGAAGTAGGCATCTGCAAGTACAGGAACCATAATGTTGAGCAATTATCAAGAGTAACTGCTTGAGTATAAATGAATATGGTTTTTAATACATTGTGCAAGTAACATGTTGCTTTATGACATGGTTCACTACAGTTGGAGATCTAGATGGGCGCTGTACAAACTACAATAAGAAGACGCAATGGTCTCACTAGATTATGGACTATACATACTCGCAACTCACATGTAAACTGCATAATCTATACATACACGCAACTCACATGTAAACTGCACCAGCTTCCATGACAAAACAGCTTTCCTATGAGAATTTCCAAAATGGCACAGGGCAGTGCTCCAAGCAATCCCTTATATGAGAACCTCTCAAACATCACTTGAACTTGGTCCAGATTAAAGGGGCAAGATAGCAATTACATCTACAGGAGTCTAAATTTCTTGACTTTACAGTAACTCCGAATCCCGACAAAGTATACATATATCTATCAAGCCACCATAGTCAGCAACCTCAAACAGCTCAGAGTAATTATCTACACAGAAGCCAATTACAAGGTCCACAAGATGGAACCCATGACACACTGAAAAGCAACCAATTAGTCAATTACCAAACTAGAATCCCAATAGTGACAGAATCAATGAGTTCAGAAAACAATATAAATCGGGAGGCTTAAATGAAGGGTCATGCCATGTGAGAAGGGGAAAAGAAACACTCACAAGCAACATCACTCGATTCATCCACGATTCTCTCGACGGTGTCGAAAACCAGCTTGCTATCGACCAAGTACTTGACGAAACCTTCCAAGTTAGGGATCCACGTCTCCCCACCCTCGCCGCCTTCCGACGACAATCCGCCTTCCACGTCCTCTCCCCCTCCTCCCCCTCCTTCTTCTTCTCCGCTCACTACATCCCCAACCTCGCCGTCGCTGCCGCTATCGCTCCCGCTATCGCCGCTGCTATTGCCGCTCCTTTTGACCTTGCGCGTGTACTTGCCGCCGACGTTGCGGAGCCTCATGGCGACGAACCTCATCTCCTCGGTGATGCCCTCGGTCTCCCCCGGGAAGAGCTTCCGGTACCTCTTCCTCTTCTTCACCACCGGCAGGTTGGTGCCGACGCTCGGTGAGGCGGAGGAGCAGCGAGGAGTGAAGGAGAGCTGCCTGTCCGTCGCTCGCTTCGCGTCGCGGAGGAGCGGAATGGAGCATGACCTGGAAAATGAGAATCGACGGAGGAGAGGTGGCGGAGCTGATTTGTACGGCGGCGTGGAGGTCGGCGGCGGCGGCGGCGGCGACCACAAAGACATTGTGGCGGGCCGAGGAGTCGGAGGTGGACGGAAGGTGGGGAGATGAAAACTGCAGCGCCTCGGCCGGCTTTCTCCAACAGCCAAAAGTAAATAGAGGTGAAAATGACGCGAAAATATATGATTTACAAAAAATAATATTTGTATTATTTAAAATAGTGAAAAAATTATCATTGATAATAATTTATAATTGATTATTTCCGGATACAATGGAAATATTCTTATTTATTTTTATAAACAATAAAAACGATCATATTTAGAAAAATATTTTTCAATTCATTCACTTTTCGCAAAGCAAATGTATCCTCTAAAAATGACAGAAACGACAATAAATACCCATTATATGATCAAAATTGGAAATATACTTTTCAGGATCGATAACTTTCACAAATCAAACAAAGCCAAATCGAGAAAAAAATTCTAATGGAAAAAACTCTTTACTGAACAATATTTCGAATAACAATGCTCCGGGGTAACGGTTCTCGATTGTTGCGCTTGTCGCCCTTTTCCATCCTTTCAAATGTTTAGCACATCACATAAACTTTAGAACATTTTAAGAAGAACGAAAACGGTATCACAGGGCATGAACAAGAATCAAATCTTTCCTTTTCCTTATCCTCTGTTACAAAGTTAATGTACAAAAGGGTTACATGCTGCGCAGAGGCTTCTCACGAATTTGCCATGGCTATTGCTAACATCACAGGAAGCAGAAAACTTCTGATACTAACACATGTACAACGTGGGAGGAGTACAAAAGGGGATGAAGACTTTCATGTTGCCCGTCGGTGTAACCCCCCCGGTGGTTATGAATTACCTTGGCACGCCGACTTTCGACGACCTTGACAAAGGAATTGTGTGCTGCAAAGTGCAGAACGTGGAGACGCTGATCGACGTCGTGTGTTCTCTCACTCGAGATGCACCATTGAGAACAAAAGAATTTGGTGTTGTTATGTACAGATGTTCAAGCTGCACTTTCTGGGTACACCGTTGGCTTCCGTCCGAGCAGCAGAAATCATCAGATCCCCCGAAATTCAATTAACTATGATCATCTATGTGTATTGGGCTTTCAGCTTGTGCAGAAAATCCAATGTCTCTGTGTATGAAGGATCGGTACGGTTAACCGGTTTGCATGAATTTATATGATCTGTAGACTCCAGCACCTGTGACAAAAAATTCAAGGCTAATCATCAAGCTGCGAATTTGACTTTTACACTCAACCAGAGTTCTTTTGTCTGGACAGATTCCCAGTCAAATGTTCCAGATAGTAGCACTTAGACATGAGAACAGATGTTGTCAAACGAAGCTAACAAGATCCAGAGCTGATAAGAGGTACGCCATGTAGAGTGTGCACTAACACAATCACAGAAATCCCAATACTAGCACAAATCGCATTGAGGACAATGTAAATAAGCAGTACTTACAACAAGTTCACCAAATCCAGGATATGCTGACTCGATTGACACAATTTCCATCCGGAAGGCCCATCCTCCGTAACCTTCTACAATTGGAGTTACCTTGGTCTGCAAAATAGTGCTATTTACCATACAAGACATGTATGCACGAGAGGAAGCATTTACACGTCCAAAGTCAATAAAAACTGACCTCACAGAAACTCAACACATCTAGCAGTCCTTTCTTGTTTCGCTGACGAATGAAGTCGTTTAACTCTATTAATCTTGGAGACCCACTTCTCAGCTCTCCTATCTATAGTTAGCAAAAGTAAAGATGCCATTACGATCCACAAGCTCACTGATCAATTAAAGTACAAAGAGCTGACTGCACCAAGAAGTATAAGAACAAAGAATCTCCTTGAAAATATTAAAAATGTTATATACTAACAGTTGGGGCTGGGCGAAGCACAAGACCCATTCGCCAAGGCATGTCCGCAAGTTTGCTTCCAAAGTGTGGACAGCTGTAGAACACCTGATCAAGCGACATGAAAAACTATTCAGTGAATTTAAATATTCTGAAACGGGAAGCCAAAGTTATATGAAAGAACAGTTAAACAAAATAAACTGAGATTTCAAAAGCACAGTTTGATGTAAAGCAAAACATACAACTCCAACAGTATTCTTCACCAGGTTGTCAATATTTTCTGTCATTGCTTTATAGAGCATCTGCTTGACAACTAGGCCACCCATGCTGCAAAAAAAAAAGAAAAAAAAAAGAAGGATTTCATGATGTATAATCAATCGGCTTTATAAGGATATCAATACTGTTTTTCCCCTCTTTTGTTTTTGTGTTCCTTATGGTGCGTGTGGTGGAATGCAACGAGGGTGATGGGGCAATGTGAAGAGATCCTCTTATGAGGTGGTTGCAATAGAAAACGAGCAAGCCACTGTCTGAATCTATCTGAAAAGATAGATAGTAGTAGTAGTACAAACTCTTCAGCCCCTCATTTTCTGATCCGCATATGCGCAAAACTCTTTTAATGATAGTTTCTAAAAACAGTAGTTTCTCATCACAATGAAAACTTTGAAACTACAAAGCATGTTCTAAATTTAACCATCAAAAACTGAAACAGCCCAAACAAGCGGAAGATCAGGAGGAAAAAAAGGGATTTCACGTTAGAGCTCTAAAAACAGATACAAATGCCAAGTCGATGAGGAAAAAGAGCCAATGCCTATTAGAATGAAACATACCTGTGAGTTATGAACACAACAGGACGATCCCCAATACCGGCAGCAACAAGCTTCTGCAAAAGCATGGAGCTCACTTCCTGGTCATAAAAACAAGAAAATCGGACAGATGCTGCATTAGCTCCAGTTGATAGCATTTGTGCATACAGAAGCCAACAAGAGTATTTAAAAACTGAAAAATGATGACGAACAGCAAATTTAACTCCATGAGTGATTCAGGATTAACATAATTTTACTTTGATAGCAGATTACTTTCTTTGATTTTATTATACACTTCAGAATAAAATATATACTATACCACACTGCAGATGCTAGAAAGAAATTCACAAACACTACCTAGCGGACAAAGAAAAATATATGATAATACACATAATTAAATGAGCTGAGGTATTGGAATATAGCTCCTAATATCATAATACTCTTGTAATCCATTCTTACAAAGCACACAATAGGCTATTAGTGCTGTGGTTTTGGGATACAGAAAAACCACACACTGCTGACTTCTCCTTATTGAGAATGGGATATGATAGAAAACTCTCCTTTAAATTTTCAGCCAGAACCAATATACCGATAGAAAGAAACAATATATCGGGTACATTAATACTGGTTTACAAAATTGGTACACTAAGTAATGTAATCGTTTACTGGGTATTATAAACGGCCCACTTGTTTGTTTGCCCTTGCAGCCTGCCACATCACTTAGAATACGGATATTGTAAGCTAACCTTTATATACTTAGCATTAGTAAAAAAGAAGAAAGAATTGTAGAAATCTTCTGTTAATACCTTGTAAATTTTTTTTTTTTGTCCTTTCTTGCTTAATTAAAAAGAAGACAAAAGAACAATTCATGAACAAGGAAAAGTTCCTTACTCAGAGACTGAAAAATAAAAGACCTACCAAAATGAAGATACTCTTAAGTTAAGGAACAGACCTGAAGAGGGAGGGTAGCTCCAGACCACTGGGTAAGATTTGTCTGCACATAATATTGGAATTTTCAGTTATATATCACAAAAACTTTCCAAGTTGAGAGGGACCTTCAGAACTCTTAGTTGCAAGAGAAAGATCTACGATGAAGCTTAAAAAAATTACCCCTATAAAATGGAAAGCTGGAAAGCATTAACTATTTGTATATCTAGCACAAACCTTGTATTTGAGAGTAAAGAGACGCGCTTCAGGGAAATCAGTAGAGAGCCATTCAGCTGGCCAGAACGTTCCTTGCATCCCTGCTTCCTGATCAATCCTCTCAACCAAGCCAGACTTTGTTGAAGTTTTGTCGTCTGCTATGCGCCATGTCTTGTAAGGCCCTCCTCGCAAGCCATGAACAAAAACAACATCTAATGGAGGTAGTTCTGAGTTTAAGCCATTGTGAGATACATCGCCAGATCTTGACAAGATCTCCTCATCGGAAGCCCCTTTCCCAGGTGAGTCCTCGAAATTCTCAGAATTAGGACCAGCCACAGATGATTTACTATCAGGAACAGCATCTCTACCTGTCCTTTTCAAACACTTCCAGTGGGGCAGTTCAGGATTGATTAGAAATATCATGTCATCGTAATGAGGACATATGGTGCTTCCACCTGCATTGCCAGAGACACTGGAATCGTCTTTATCCGCCTGGTCATTGCAAAGCACATTCAACAGTGTTGCCCTAGCATAGCTCTGTAATTTAAGGTCATTGCAACCTGGAATTTTCCCATTGGCACAATCTTCAAGCCATCTACACCAAGTATCATCTTTTGCAATGACCTCCCGGACTTTTGGTAGAAGTGAAAGGATGGTCAAAAAACGAGCTGCATGCTTCCGAATGAGACCAGTAGGTGGCACTCGAACATTAGACGATTCATTCTTTTCTGGAAGTGACGATTCTGCAGGAGCATCTGAGACCCTCTGTGCAACTTCCGTGGCTCTTGATGCATCATATGCTTCAATAGCGGCAAGTTTCTCATAATCATCACATAGAAGAAAGCGCCTTAACAAATGTAATACACCATATTCTGTTACTCTGTCCTGAGACGAGACATCTTCTGCACATAATTCAGTAAGTGCTTTAATCCCTTTAAGGGTCGCCAATGCAGAATCTGCAGCACTAATTCTAGGGCGAGCATCTTTCTTTAGATTTTTAGATGGTCCAACAAAAGGTTCCATAGACAGGAGATCTGCTAATGGAAGTGTGTCCAGAGATTCCGTAGCCGTTTCCAACTGATTTCCAGCTAAACCAACAACAGCACCTGCCAACTGGTTAGCAATTTGTCCAGCGGAAAGCATATTCGACTGATCAATTTGATTCTGCAAAATAATAGAGTTCTAATTGTAACAAACACTCCACTAACCAGGTAAACAAAGAAATGATCTCAACCAAGAGCTAGAAGAATGAATATTCCAAAGAATGGATTTTGTTCGAGAAGATTAACACTCTTACT